AATATTTGCTTTATTATAAAACAAAATATTTTTTATACTAATTTTGATTTAATATTAAATTTTATCTTTTACATTTTTATATTTTTTATTTGAATTAATTATTATAATAACTTAAAATTTTAATATATAAGGACAATTAGAATAATGCAATGATATCAAATTTATTAATTAAATATAGTAAAGTATGAATTTTTTTTATAAAAGTTTTTAATATTACTAATAAATATTTTTTGTTTTTATATTAAAATAATATTACAAATTTTAATATATATTTTTTTAGATTTTTTAGATTTAATTTAATAAAATTGTTTTAATTATATATAAATTAATTATTTTTTTATAATTAAAATATATAAAAAAATAATTGACTTTATATGTAATTAAAATAATTTTATTAAATTAAATTTAAAAAATTTAAAAAATATTTATTAAAATATATAATATTATTGTTATTTTAATTAATAATATTAAAAACTTATATATAAAGAGAAAAATTCATATTTTACTATATTTAATTAATAAATTTTGACATTATTGTATTATTTTTAATTATTATTGTATTATATAACATATTTCAAGAAATCTATTAGCTTAATACAAGAAATCTATTAGCTTAATACAAGAAATCTATTTTTTAATTAATTTTATATTATTATATTTTAAAAAATATTTATAATATTTTGCTAGATTATTATTTATATTTTCTCTTCAAATTATATAATTTCAATAAAAATTTATATAAAATTTTTTTTAGATATATTTTTTTATTATTCTTAATTTTTCTTCTAATTCTTGTTTACAATTAATAAATTATATATAGCAATATTTATTTAAAAAGTAAATAATTAAAATTTGAATATTTATTGAAATAATTATTACAAAATATATAATAAATTTTTAATAATATAAATAAATTTAATTTTAATTTTAAACATTACTTTATTGAATATTATATATTATTTTTTAAATTATTAGATTTAACAAACAAATTTATTCACTAAAATTCTATAAATTTAAATTTAATATATTTTTATTAAAAATTAAAATATTTTAAAATTTTTTTTTGATCTTATTGTATTAGTTTTGATTATTATTATTATATAAATAATTTTAAATAATTTTATTATTGGTTTTAAATTCTAAAAATATTTATAAAATTGATTACAAAAAATTAAATATTTAAGCAATTTATAAATTTTAAATTATATTAATTAAAAATATATTATATTATATTATTTTTTACTTTAATTTAGAAAGAAATTTAAAAAAATTAAGCTTATACAATTAGAAGTAAATATATAAAAATAAGTTGTAATAAATAAATTTGCTTATTAAATAATTTAAAAAATAATTTAAAAGAAATATAACTTTTTTAATATTATTAACAAAAATATATTTATAAAAAATTAATATTAAAATCTATTTTATTATTTGAATTAGGATAAGAATTAAAGTAAAGAACAAAATTATATGTAAAATTATTTTTTTAACATTTTTTATTAGTATTTTAAACCAGATTTTAATATCTATTTTTTATTTTTTATATTTTTTTATTTTCTTGTATTAGATTATTTTGTCAGATTGATCAAAATTTGCGCATTTTTATTGATTTGCATCACTTAGCAGAATGTTCTTATTGAATTATGTCATATCACACTTATAATATAAGCATGAATTTTTGTTGATAATGTTAGAAAGTTAAAAAAATATCAAACAATCATTATCAAAATTGAAAGCACATGATCTAACATCTTTTTTGTTATAACTAGATACTTTTATGAAAGGAATTAGAGTTTGGATCTGGATCTGGATCAAGATTTATTTGGCAAACAAAATATATTTATAGTAAAATTTCACATTTTTTTATTAAAATACAAAAGATAGTTTTATAATCTAAATTTTGAGATACAAGCTTTTTCAAAAACATGTCTGTTTTATTTATTTTTGAATTTCCGTGTTACACGTTGATCTTGCAATTTAATTGGTCATCATCGCTGACATCATCAAAAATTATTAGCAACAAAGTAAAGACGAAAAAAGATCTGATCATGTGATTTCAATCCCGACAGAATTCCCTCTTAAATTATAATGCATAATATTGAATTAGGTTTAGGTTTAGAGGTAAGGTTATTGTATATTAAACGGGAGTGTGATACATAGTAAAATTTCGCAACATTTTTATTAAAGCACAAAAGATAATTTCATAGACAAAATTTTAAGATACAAGTTATTTTTCAAAATAAGCATTTTTTTTGTTTTTTTTTGAATTTTTGCGTTGCATATTGATCTTGGAATTTGATTTGTGCATAATTTTAAGGAGATATCAGATGGTCGGCATCGGGATCGAAATCACATGACCTGTCTTTCACTTTGGTACTTAAAAATATCACGTGGCCAGAACTTTTGAGGATTGCTCTGGTGGATTCATATAATATATGTTAACAAAAATCAGCAGGTGGCTTATTGCATTTCAGCAGATGCATACAACTAAAAAATGGTCTGCCATTACTTATAAAAAAAAGGTAAGCATATAAAATATATGTAAAATATATGGAGATCGCAAGGAAGGTATGTAGGCACGTAAAATGCGACAAATTCCATATATAAAAACACATTTTAGGCACAGTTTTTTGACACGTAAATGACATGAGATTGTCATCCCGTGTCAAAAAATGCCCCCATATGCGTTTATGTATATAGAATTTGTCACGGTTATGTCCACTTGTGATTTCCATATTTTATGTGCTTGCATTTTTTTATGCAGACTCTATTTGAATCACAAAATTTCTTCGCTATACCAAAATATTTGCTATATAAGAATTCGTTATAGAGCACTTTGACCGTAAAGTATATTTCCTATAATACTTGATTTTGCTACATTAACGTTAATTCTTTTTAAAACTATTAATCGTTCATGTAAGCATATACTAAAAAATTCACATTTTAGCAGCGTCATTGCTCTATCAAGGATAGAATTTATCAGTGTTCAAAATTGATCTATAGTCAAACCTCGTTATAGTGAAATGTTCGGGCTATTAGAGAAAAATTGTCAAAATTCACTATATCGAGAGTTTATTAATAAATTCACTATATACTGTTTTTGAGCTCAACTTCACTATATCGTTATCGAGAGTTCACTATATTGAGAGTTGACTGTAAAAGCAATGTTATATTTCAAGTTTCTTCAATTAAATTTAAGTATAGATGTTACCGATTAATTCAAGCATTGAATTATGATTTGATATTTTTATATGTTGAGAAAGGAGAAATTACATCATTCAAAGCATTGACAAAACAAAAGATTACCGAAATTGAATGACCAGGCAGTTTGTTTGTAACTTTCAGTTATTAGAAGAGAGCTCATTTTAACATTTGCAATGGAATTCGGCAGAAATACTTAATGCTGAAATATTATAATTCGCTGTTGAGATTCGAATCCATAAAAATGGTCAACAGCAGATATAATATAATTTCATATGCGATAATATGAACTTCAAGAATTTAAGAAACCTAGAATTCACAAAGGTACAGCATACAAAAGTACTGAAGCGGTGAGTAAATTTTCTTCAAAGTTTTTTTGTGAGGATGAAAGTATTTATACAGTAATCTATGGAATGTGGTCGAAAAGATTTGTTTGCCTGGGAAATATCGTGGCAGAAAATGAAAAATTTGCATTTTTTACTATTATTTAACCTTGAAGTTGACCAGGTAAAAATATCATTCTTCGACCAGTGACACGTATGATATAAGCTGAGTTTTTTGTTAACTAATAATAATCAAAATCCATAAAAATTTCCAAAAACTAAAAAATTACAGTGCCTAAATGCTATTCATATAAACTCCTAAAGATGAATACAAAAAATTTCAAAAGTAAAAATATAAAGATTCCTTCTACAAATAGGTTTCTATAAAATGTAGTGTGAAAGATTTCTAAAGACTAATAAATACGTGTAAACATTTGAAATCGGCAGATACATGTACGTAATATGTTATCAAGTGATACATGAACACAAAAAGATGAAAACAAGGCATTTGTGTGGTATTGAAATCAACATAAAGTGAAGATGTGGGAGCACTTGGTTGGTGTTATAGGAACTCAAAAAAGCTTTAGTGTATTTTAAATCAGCAGTGGAAATGCTTACAGACAAATATAATCTCGGCGACTGTTCTCAAATAGTATTGGAACTCAAAAAAACCCCCCGAGAAAAAAGTACTTGAGATTTAAAATATCGATATATTGATTCTATGTCTGTTAATTTAATTTATGATCTTGTGTAGGTATAGGAGATATCACAAAATACGAATAATCTTTCACATATTCAAGAAATTAGCGGGGCAAAACTTCAGCTTACAATTATTTGCGAAATGCTTACTTTTATGAATCTGAACAGTAGAAAACGAATGCAAGATATTTGAAATGTCATTATTTTATTTTATGTTAATTCTTTCTAATTATTCATATGTCGGTCCAAATTTTTAACTTTAAATATAATTTACAAGTTAATACCGATACTATATTTTACTTGTTGAAATTCCGTATTAATTATCACCTCCTTTATAAATGCGTAGAAGATATCTTTTTCTTTGAGAACAATTTTTTCGGGGATCGAATTACATTCAGCTAAATAAACTTTTCCGAATGATCCTTCACCAATAGGTTCTCTCTTAGAAATTTCTTCATATGATATTTTACCATCAGAAATTGCATCATCGAGCCATTTTTTTGAACACATCACGTACTGTATACCAACACAGAAAAATGTAACGATAATTAAAGATATCGATATACATGTATATGTAAAATGTCCTTTGTACAGCTACGTAGGTACTTCTTTTTAAAAAATACGCCATAATACTAGAGTTTCGGTTAGGGTTAGATTTAAGGTTAAAGTTATCTTTATTGTACAGCATATCGATATAGCAGACGGGGCGTAGTATATAGTAAAATTTCGCAAGGGATATTTTTTGTTAGAACACAAATGATTGTTTCTTATGTCAAATTTCAAGCGCATCTCCAAATTTGGCCACATATTACATGTATAAGGGAATCACATGTCCCGACATTTTTTTCGCGATCAGCAACATGTCTCTTGCAATAGCTCTAATTGGTCACATTAATTATTACGTAATGATATGCAGCCTCAAATTTGTGGATGCGCTAAAGCGCGGTGTACACGTGTAATCCATCCAATAGGGGTGCGCAAATTTTTGTCAATCACCAATAAGAATGCATAAATTATTGATCAACCCGGCAAAACAAATCTGATACAAGGTATGAAAAATGTGAATATCACAAGAAAACCAATGCTTAAACCTGTCTTGGAATACTAATCAAAAATGTTAGGAAGGCAATTTTATATATAACCTTGTCACCTAACTCTTACCCTGACCTTATAAATCATTAATTGGGTGCACACTGAAAATTTAGAGGGACTGAATCACTTAGTGCTCCAACCGGGTCGGGTCAAACCGACCCGAAATAATTCAGGTCAGCTTAAAAATCGTTCAATATTAATTGGAATTAAACGAAAATTTGTGGGCATATACACAATTATATTCCGAACAACTTTATTTAGACACAAATACAAGTGTCTTAGTAAAAATAAAATTTATTAACAAAAACTGATTTACTATTCGAATTATTGCGCTTTGTTTAGTGACAACCTCTAACCGAACCGTTTGTAAAAAACCTTAAATATCTCGAAAACTTTATTAAGAAATTGGTTTTAGAGTATTATGAAAAAGTGTTCAGCTGATCGATTTACAGTTACCATAAAAATTTCAGAGAAGTAAACATTTTCTGTGATTTTAATGTTAATTTAAACGTCAATCGGACATTACTTTCTGGGGGGACTGTACCATATAATCACACCTTCCACATAATCATACCATCATTTGAACAAATACTTAAGAAACATAGTAAAAATCTCTATACAATCTCTTATAGGTAATAGTTTCCAGCTTAAGATTTGATGAATTGGTTCAGATAAATCACGTTTGAAATATGGTGCGATAGGTAATAATTGGAAAATTTAAGCTGATATCGTACAATCATTTGATGTTATGAACCACATAAGCGTGAATTTGCATATATTATAAATTACTTGAGTTAGTTAAATTTGCGATATAGCGATAGATATATACAGTAACTTTTATAATTATTGTATATTATATAGTGATAGTTCTTGATTTTGATCCGAATTCAGAATTGTATCATGTTCCTAAATTGGTTTGAAAATGTAAAAAGCATGTTTTCTATTTACGTATTAGAAAGAAAACGGCTTAAATGGGAATTTCGAAACAATTTCAACAATACAAAGGTTCATACAAATTTTATTGATTGCTTATTTCTCTAGCTATGATTACAGTGTAGAAAAAGAGGTTTAATGCAATATAGAATTTTTCCACTTTGTTGATTGAAAAGGTTAGCATAAATGTAGGATAACTATAAGCGATAGCGATAGGCTTTGATATATGCCACATGAAAAATAAACATAACTGTATTTCCTTTATCGAAGCAATCCTCTCCTCTATTTCTTTCTGTGTTTGTTTCATATCGATATGGTACGTCGTGTGAAGCCTCAATATCTATCATACAAAGCGGGAGGAATCCGTTTGTCGATAAACCGAATCACACAATTGTAATAATTGCGGCAGATTAAAAGGGAATCAGATTAAAATAAAATCCAGTAGGATAACAAAATTTATTACTACCGCTACCATATATTTTAACTCTTTTTCCATAATTTTCACCAAAAAAAGACTCCAATTATTTCACGTTTTTTTTATAATCGTTATTTTAATCTGCCACAATAATTAATTCTTTGAACAAATCAAACTGTTCCTTTATGTGCAGTAATAACATAATGATATCAATTACCGTATCCGCCCTATAGAAAATTTAAACGTTTAGTCTGATTTTTTAGTAAAACCTATTGTTTTTCTGCCAAATGAATAATTCAAAATTCTTATCATTATTATTAAAAAGAAGGCAACGCTATACAATAGGTAATTCGATAATTATTAAATTTTTTAGAATGGAAAAGAGTGTGCCTATAACGAGACTGTGACTATACATGTATTGAGTGTGACGATAACGAGATGCGACTGAAGTACGTAAATCCATTGTACATGTATATTATATATGAGCATGGTTTTCTATACGTAACGACAAATTCAGTTTACTATCGCTGTTATTAAAAATGGAAAAACAAGTTAAATTTAGCATTAGCTATTTTGCTATCATTTTTATAGCATTAGCCTTTACGGTAAATGATTTTATCTAGTTATTAACGTTAAGTAATGGCGGTGTTATTTGAATTCGCTCTCATTTTTGTTGATAGACGATCTTTATAGGTGCCGAAACGAATTCCAGAATTGTGTCTTTAAATGAAGCAGACACTTGGTATACATGCAGCAAGAATACTGGAAATTCAGCCAGTAAATTGATTATATGCTAATTTCCAACACATATCATTTGCTCATTGATTTTCTTATTTGTAAAGACTATCAAGTGAAATTAACCAACAAATCAAGGCTAACAATTAACAACTATGGAAAATCAATAGATGGCCAAAAGAAATTAATCCATTAATCACCACTACAACTTTAAACCATTCGTTAAATATCACCACCGGAATATTATTAAAAAAAGCCGACCTTGCTGATTTCCTTAATCCGAATATTACATATTTTTTCTATATTAGAGGTTTATCTTGCAATGACACCCCGATTTCCAGTTGTGTAAAGAAGATGGAAAATTCACCGTTACGAAATACTATTTGGTGTTTGGTAATTACGAATCCTGGTGTTGAAAAAACAAAGGTCAATGTGAAGACAGAGTTCACAGCTTTGGATTGGAAAAATTGAAAAACGAAACAAATTCTCTGAAATAATTCATTTTTTAGTTAGTCGTAATTCTCTTTCATTGCCTTGTTTTTCAAAATGTATTTTTAAGTAATATAAGCAAATTAATTTACGTAGCTGATAACGATATCATTTCTATCTTGAAGTTACACACATTAATTCCTAGCGCTAGTATCGGTATTGGTCAATTTGAACTTAACGTTGACGTTAATAAGAGATCCGGTTTAACGGGAGCAACATGTAAATGGATCTATATAAACTTGCTTCATTGACAAAGCGTATTTATTTTTGCGAGACCTTATGCAAACTTTTATACCAATTATAAATCACGAGATGCAAGTAAAACTCGATATAAGAAACCTTCGACGCAAGAAATCTCTTCATATAAGAAAAATATTTCAAAAATAACATATTTAAAGATCTCTATAAGAAAGTTAATCAAGAATCTCGATAAATTCAATCGGAACACCAATCCTAACTACCGTTTAGCACTGTATATACGTAGTATCCCCCAAAAAGAATACCCTCCATGATTTAGATTCGGATACTTTTCATTACTACATTTGAATAGCGATAGTGCCCGGATCTAGATTTTTACTAAAAATGATTAGTATCCGGGTATATACGTATACGTATTTAAACTACGTACATGTATTAATATCAATATCAATATCAGCAAACTTGATTGAATGGTGAAGTTAAACTAATAAATATTATCGTTATTAGATTGTTTTATTACAAAAAATATTTAGTTCCAAATCTTAACGTAATTTTCCTCCTCCTGTTCACTGACATCTTTTTTTATGTATTTCGTACACTAAACTTGCCTTGTCATTTTTTTAGTATTTTTTGTTTGCAAATTTTGCATTTAAAAAATTTTATAGTCAACACGGAAAGTAATGGCGGTCATTTTTTCGCCGAAATTCATCAATATCTTAATGAGGAATTATTCAAATATCGTAAAAATTTGGCATTATATTCTTTAGGATGATGGAAACAAAATTTTCTAAGGTCACAATGCGTGTTAACATAGTAATATTTTGCAGAATCACGTATCAAAGATGGCGGGCCGGGGAGCTACCCTAGTTAAAGAGCTATAAAAATTATTTATAATATTTTTTATTAGTGTGAAAAAATTTTATAGAAATATATTTAAAAACATAGAAAATTAACTGCAATTTTAAAAAAATTAGTTGATATTTATTGAATATATACTAGTCAAAAAAAGGCTTAATTTCAGAATAAAAATAATATTATTATAGTTTATTCTGAAATTTATCAAAATTAAGCTTTTTTTTGACTAATATATATTAGGATTGTTAATGAGTTGGGTTGAATTGATACTCCAATGGAGCCAATTCTAATTCAACCCAACCTAGATTAATACTCTAGTGCAATACTCCAAGTTGTACTCCATTAGTTATTCTGGAGTGATCCAGATTAATACTCTGATGCAATACTCCAGATTATACTCCATTAGTTACTCTGGAGCAATTCAACCCAGATTAATACTCCAGTGCAATATTCCAGGTTGTACTCCATTAGTTACTCTAAAATAATCCAACTCAGATTAATACTCTAGTGCAATATTCCAGATTGTACTTCATTAATTATTCCAAATTAATATATTTCAAATTATACTTCATAAATTATTTCAGTTTACAATCAACAAAATTAATATTTAACAAAATATAAAATAAAAAAATTGAAAATTAAACTTATAATTCTAATAACAAAAATTCTTCTAAATTTTCATTTTTTTCTTTTTTATCTCATACTTATTGTATCCAACTTTTTAAATACATTACAGCACGAGTACTTTCTGGTTTCAAATTATTTCTAATTTTGGTTATTATATGAGCAGCTACAGAAAAAACTTGTTTTAATAGAACACTCAAATCTTGAATACTTAAATAACAAGCTGTCATATTAGTCAAAATTGAAAACTTACCTTTAAATTGATATTACCATTCCAAAGGATCAGT